TGTCAGATCTGGCAGCAGTGGCCTTTGCCCACTGAGCCATCTTGCCAGCCCCTTACTTTTACTTTTTAACTTTGTGTATATGTGCACATGTGTATCATACCCACAGGAGCTGGAAGAGGGCTTTGCATACCCTGCAGCTAGGATTATAGGCAGCTGTGAGCTGCCCGACATGGCTGGTGGGGATGGAATCCCAGTTCTCTATTAGGACAGCAAGCGTTCTCACCACCAAGCCATCTCTCTAGTATCAGTCTACTCCTTTTTACTTTTTAAAGGTAGACTACTAGGAAATTTTAAATTACAGGTATGACTCAGGTTCTTCCCACTGGAGAGCACGGGAACAGAAGGAAGGTAAGTGGCGGCCTGGGCCAGCAGAAGCCCCAGCTGACTAAGACCTTGACTGCAGAATATGGAGCAAAGAGAAGGAAAGATTGGAGCCACTCTGTCCTCCTGATCTTGCTGCTTGCTGGAGTCTAGATAAAGAGAGAGGAGAACATAACAGGGGTGAAGAACAAGAGGGAGGGGATGAGGGAGCAGAGGCTGGAAAGAAGACATCCGGAAGAACACATTCTCGATGCCTAACAGAAAAACTGTCTCTGCTCAGTTGATATATATAAACCTGCCATTATGAAAATGACAGTCTTTAAAAAACAGCCCAACCGAGTGCGGTAGCACACGGCTTTAGTTCTGGCACTTAGAAGGCGAAGCAGGAACCAAAATTCAAGGCCAGACTGGGTTTTATGAACGCTTACCTGAAAGCGAACAAACAAAAACCAAACTAAAAACCTAAGTAAATACATAAAGAATTTTAAAAGTGGCCACAACATTCAAAAAGCTTAAATATCATTCATAAAGTAGACCTGTTAAATGCTGTTTGTTGAGCTGATCAAACTCAATCACACAATCTTAAATTATTATAATCCCAGATATTATTAAGTCTGAAGGGGAAAAAAAAGAGAATTCACGAGTATAAATGTTGATTCGTGACCTAAAAATTTACTCCTGGGTATTTTTCCCTGATGTAACTGAAGTACAAAAATGCTTCCTATTGCTCAAAACCTCAAGTAAGACAAAGGCTTTTCCTGTAGGTAAACAGAAACGTAGGGATTGGGTAGGTGGAGGTTTGCAGCAAGATGGGTGAAGACTAGGGCTAGAGACATTCTTAACATCAAGAGGATCCTGTAGCTCAGAGCTTAAGCTCCGTCTGCTCTGTGCTTGGACCAGAGGAGAGCCTGGAGCCTGCAGGACTGCTTGCTCTTCCTGAGGCCATATAATACAGGACCAAGCAGAAACTTAGCCTCCTGTAAAAACAACTCCAGCACCATCACCTGGAAACGATCACCTTCATCATTCAGGCTGTAGGAGCTCCCACCATTAATTCTAAGACTAGAATAAAAGAGCTTTGCCTGGGGACCCCCAAGAGAGTAATACACCCATAATAAACCCATTACCCAGTGATCCTACTGCTCAGCATAGATTCTCAGATATGCACGCACATTCTACCAAAATTAGGCACTAGTTACAGCAGCACTATCTAGTGCAGACAAACACTAGAACTGACCACAGGTAAGACACACGAAACTCCCCTGTGATCGCTACCAGCAATGAGAGTGAGCATGCTCTAACTACAGGCAGCACGGGAGGCCTCTGTGCTCACAAAAGGAGACACACACTGCAGGTTTCCATTTACGCACAGTGTGAGAAGGAAGGCAGGCCAGGGTTAATGCTGAGAGCCAGTGACCAGATAAAGCACGAGTCCTGGTTAGATCAGAACTGATCCTTGATCTTAAGGTGGCACATGTTCAATACAGAAACTTGTTCAGTGATACACTGTAAGTACGTCTATCTTCCCTGAACCTACACGTTTCTAAGACGTCGTCATAAGAGAAAAGAGTTCTCATTCCACTGTGTAGGTTCTGAAGATTTAACTCAGATCATTGGGCAGCAGACAACTCGGTGCACTGAATCATCTCATTGGCTTTATGTATACAGGTATAAGCTTGCAAGTATAAGACTGTATACATATCAAGTCAGGGTCTCATATACCCCAGTTGACCTTGAGCTCTTGACCCTCCGGCCCAAGTGCTGAGATTAACAAGCCTGCACATCACCCCCAGCTGCAGGTATCCACACCTTATTTAAACAGGAGCAAATCTTGTTTGGTGTCTGTTGACTGAGTTTTCTGTCCTGCCCAGTTCCCAGTCATTAAGTCCCCCAAAAATCACAAAGAGGTCTCCATTAACTATAAACTGATTGGCTCAGACTTCTTATTAACTCTAATAACTTATATTAGCCTATTATTCTTGTCTGTGTTAGCCATGTGGCTCGGTACCTTATTCGGTGGGGCAGTCACATCTTGCTTCTTCTGTGACTAGGTCACAACTGTGGAAATGAGCTTTCCTCTTCCCAGAATTCTCCTGGTCTCGTCGCCCCGCCTCTACTTCCTGCCTGGTTGTCTTGCTTATATGTCCTGCCTAGCTACTGGCCAATCAGCATTTATTTAAAATATAACTGACAGGGTACATACCATTGTCCCGCAGCAGGTGTCCAGGTAAGCTAGTTTCGACCATGAGATCTCTCAGTTCATTTTCTCCCTCCTTCGCACACCCCACTTGCTCCCTCTTGGAACTGCTTGAACTGGGTTTCTCTTCCAGGAGAGCCCTTGGGCCACCATCCGTATTTATGGCTTCCTCCCACACTGGGTCCGTGAGTCACACCCCTCCAGTGGATGCCTCTGCTAACTTATGCCACCCACGCCGATCCAGTCCTTTCTTCTCATCCTCAGCAGCTGCCATGTACATTCCTAGTGGTTCCTACGCCAAACCTTCCCAGCTAGACAAGCTGTGTAGAGCACGCCCTTGGAGGATGACGACCATCCTCCTGGTTCCAAAAGCAGCACAGAATACAGACCTCCTCCGAAGCCAGAGAGGTGTGGAGGGTGACTCTTCCTACATGTCTTTGTTAGGATTTCTATTGCTGTAACACCATGACCAACAGCAACTGGAAAGAAAGTGTTTAATTTCATCTTACAGTTCCATATCACAGTCCACAGTGAGGGAAATTAGGGCAGGGACTGGAACATGACAGGAACCTGCAGGCAGGAGCTGATGGAGAAGCCAAGGAGGAACACTGCTTACTGGCTTGTCCTTCAGAGCTTGCTCAGCCGGCTTCCTTATACAACCCAGGATCACCTGCCCAGGGGTCACACCACCCACAATGAGGTGGGTCACTAGTTAAGAAAATGTCTCTCACAAGCTTGCCTACAGGACAATCTGGTGGGGGCATCTCTTTCAATTGATGTTCTCTTTCTCCAAATGACTCCAGATTGTAACAAGTTGACCTTAAAAACTACCCAGCACACCATTAATGTCCCAAGAGTCAGCTGCTACCTCTCCACTGCTCCGGCCAGCCCAGTAAGGGGCAGAAAGAAGTAGTGTAGCAGAGTTTCTCCTTGCCTGTTTCCCTAAGCATTCACCCCTTAACCTATGTTGATGACATGGGCATTAGCAATGTATGACAAACTGAATGAATTTTCAGAATCCATGTGCTTTTAGAATTTCCTGCCAGCCCCCCAGCACTCTGTCTTTCGTCTCTCCTCATCTTACTCTGTTTAAACCAGGCAAATTGGCACAGGCCTGTAATCCTAGCACTAAGAAGATGGAGGTCAGAAGATCAGTGTTCAAAGCCAGCTTGGGCTGCAGAGTGAATTCAAGGCCAACCTGAGCTACATATACCCAGTGCCAAAACCCAAACCAATCAAACAAACAAACAAACAAACAAACAAAACCAGCCATCAAAACCCCCAGCCATCTCCTTCATATCTTTTCAAGTCTCAAGGACATACTATCAACACTAACCAAAATCTCCACCTTAAAGAACCGGCATCAACCACATAGCAGACATGGGTGTCAAGACACAGTCTGATCACGGTGCTCTGGAAGTTCGTTTTAACCCTCTCTTGTCCAAACACTTGGAAGCAGACCATTCCCAGCTCTGCAACTAGAAATGTTGTTAGACATTGCTCTGAGCTGTCAGGATATAGAATTACACAAATGAAACCCAAATCTGTCCTGTCTGGTCCTTTCGTTCAACAGACTGCTAGCTCCAGCATGTGTGTCCATCTGCAGGTAGAAGAGGATTTACCGTCATAAACCAAGGGAAGGCTTGGCTAGACACCAGAGGGCAGAAGATGAGAGTGAGTCTCCTTCCTCTGTGAGTCTAAAACCTAGCTCAGCCCTTGGCTGCAGGAACCCGCAACCCATCCGTTCCAGAAAAAGCATAACACATAAAACCACTTTTGGGGGAAATGACCCTTTTAAGAAAATGACTCTCTCTCTCTCTCTCTCTCTCTCTCTCTCTCTCTCTCTCTCTCTCTCTCTCTATCTATGATGGAGAGGTAAAATTTCATTTTCAAGTCAATTAATGATTCTACAGTTTTCTTATGATATATTTATTTTAAATGGTTAGAACCACAAACCCAGTGGCCTGGAAGAGACCTCAGTCTACAGCAGGTTAAGCTTTCCAGTACAGAGACCAGGAGAGCAAGCCCCCCACAGGAGGAACAGTGGATGCCAAGGTCATCAGCTGGTGTGGGGTAGGGGTTTGCTTTTATTCATGGGGTCCTATCAAATGTTCTCTGGAGAAAAAAAAAGCAGCACACAAAGAACGCACCCCCTCCTCAGGCCACTGTTTAAAATTTCCAAGGAATGAAAAAGGTCGCCCCAACGTGTCTCCTCCGCAGGACTGGCCGCAGAGAGGGGGGCGGGGAAGGTCACCAGCGAATTTCTACCAGCAGAAATCTACCCACTTGCATGCACAGGGAAGGTTCGGGAGCCACTTAGTGACCCTGCAGAGGGTTCCCCCAAGCCAGTCACGGAGGACACTGAGTCAGTTCGGCTCTGCTGGCTCAGAAGGTTCCAGCAATGAATTAAAACACTCCAAACCAAACCTCATGGAAATGACCACCCCGGCTGGACCTGCCACACGGGTCGGGTCATCCTTACCCGATGCGCCGCTTCCACACCTGTGCCGGCCGCGGGGGCGCCTATCTTAGCGGCCCGGGGCCGCGACCCTCCGCCCGCGTCCCCCCGCAGGCGCGTCCGGCGTCGCAGGGCTGGGGAGGAGTCTCTGGGCCCGGGGTATGAGTGGGCAAAGGCGGATCGCCGCTGCCTGGGTTGCGGGTGTCCGCTATGCCGACTGGGGGCTGCGCCACGTACCTCGGCAGGCAGGTGCCGCTGCTTGGCTTCGCGGCTTCTGGGGCCGCCGCTCCGCGCCGCCCGTCGCCTCCGGGCGCATGCTAGGGAGGGAGCGCTGGCTAGGAGCCAGCCCCGGGCCCCGCGCCCCAGCCCGCCCCCCGCGCCGCGATCGCGCCCATTCAGCCACGGGCAGTCCGCTCCCCGGCGCGGACGCGGAGGGGGCGGGGCCGCACGTCACGAGGACATGAGAAGCCAATCACAGCGCGCCCCCCCCCCGCCGCGGCCCCGCCTCCGAGCGGGCAGCCCCCCTCCGCCCTGTGGATCAAGGGGGAGTAGGGCGCATCCTGCCGGGATGCAGCTTGGGAGCCAGGAGGCCTGGGACAGGGATGCCCCGCGCCTGGGGCGCTCTCCACCTCTCCATCTAATCCAGGCTTGTCCGCGATTAGATGGTGGTAGGCGGCCCTGGGAACCAAAGGTGGCTTTGGACCGGTTGTGGGCTTTCGGTTGAGCATCCGGTTAGAAATCGCGGAGCCAGGAAAAGAAGGGGCTTGACGTCGTCACGTGCTTTATTTGCCAGCTGCCCTCTGGTCTTTAGACAGTTACCGGTCCTCGGTCCCTGAGTCCCGTGAGGCAAGCACCAAGACAGGCTAGACCAGCGGTTCTCAACCAGGGGTTCCCTGAGACCGTCGGAAAATACAGGTGTTTGCTATTCATAACAGTATCAAAATTACAGTTATGAAGTAGCAACAACAGTCATTTTATGGTCGGGGTCACCACAACAAAGGGAACTGTTTTAAAAAGTTGTAGCCTTAGGAAGGTTGAGAATCACTGGACTAGAGGGACGTGTCTTGGGCCCTGCCAGGACTGCCTTATGTTGTACCTAGTGTCATAGTGCTTGTCCTGAGGTCCTTGTAGGGGTGAGTAACTTTCAAACCACCGGAGGCATTTAGTGGCAGAACCAAAATCAGAACCTGAGTTTGGAGCACTCAGATCCATTTATCTAAAACCTCCTGATGCCCTCGCCTCCCACACCTTATTCTGGAAATAAACCATGCCATTTTTAAAACTCAAATTTGGGGCGTTAAAATTGCTTAAAACTGGACTGGATCTCCCTTTTAGGATATTTCTTCCCATGATCCTCTAGAAAAGCCGACAAGAAGGAGATCCAAACCACAAAGTAAATGATATTTGAATGATGCCAAGTTCTTCTGAGGATGTAGACCCTTTGTTAGTGCACGTGTATTGGGGGAAATGCCCTGGCGGGTTAGTTTTTGTTAAGCTGGAACAGCTTGCCTTCAGTCTTGAGAACGTTTAACCCCAAAGGGGCATTCTGACAGTCTGGAGGAGACTCGTCCTCAAGATCCAGCTCAGTTTTCTTGGTTGCCACATATCAAACTCCTTTCTGAGGCTTCTGGTCCCATGATAGGTCTCATGGCTTTGTGTCAGCTGACGAAGCTGAAGCTTTGTAGTGAAAGCTAGGACCGGGGTTTTACAAGGCATGTGAGGCTGTAGAAACCTGAAAAGGACCTCTTTCTCCCAGCTCCCACAAACCAAACAATACCTCTCTCATTTTGAAGAACAAGATTCTAGACTCCGAGCCAAGAGTCCTATCACTTTTTCCTTTTCAGCAGCTCGAACAGAGCAGCAGGTTTGGACACATCTTGGTTCTTTCTCCAGGGTTGAGAGCAGAGCTGGGATGTGGGCGTGGGGATGCTATCTGTGTAGTCAATGCCAAGAATGAAACACAGGAAAGAATAGGCTGGGTGGATTCTGCTTTCATTACAAAAATAAGAAATCTGGATGATTTTAAGCACACTGGGAATATTCTAGAAGAAAAAAAATGGAAGGAAGTTTGACATGGGGCTGTCTAAAGCCAGTGGGTTGGCCAAGGCTGTTCAGACCAAGCAAGTGCCTGGAATGCTGAGCACCTCTCTCCCTCGCTACTGGAGACCAGCCTGGTCAGACATCCTGGGGTCTCTGCCTCGGTTTTCCCCACAGCTCCCTATGCAATAACCATTGCCCTGGGAGCCGGAAGTACCCTGATGCAAGGCAGGTCTGAGTTAGGGGCAATGAAGAATAAGCTGTGAACTCTGCCTCCTGTCTTAGCCTCACAGACATCTGTCTCAGCATTCTGCTCATTTGCCTGGTTCACACTCCCTAAGACCCCCAAATAATATACTAGACTCACTCACTAGATCTCAAAGGTTTACTGGCTGGCCTTTGAGAGAAGCTTCCAGGCTCTGACTAGCATATGGAAAAACCACTAATAAATCAAGGACAGCAAACTACAGTTGTATATTTATTTTTTCAGTGCTGGAGACCAAATCCAGGGCCTTCCACTGACTGGACCACCACCATGCTGACTGACTGGACCACCACCATGCTGACTGACTGGACCACCACCATGTTGACTGAATAGCGCTCTGCCACTGAGCTATACCTCCGGCCTATGTTTGTCACCTTTAATGGAGTAATGCCTATTTCTTTTGGCTTTGGAGGGGAGGTGTTGTTTTAGACTTGTTTTTATACAGGGTCCCACCACGGCTGGCCTGGAACTTTGAAGTAAATGAGGCTGGCCTTAAACCCACAGAGCTCTGCTTGCCTGTGTCTGCTGAGGCCTGGGTTTAAAGTTTGTGCCACCAAACCTGATGTAATAAATATTTTTAAACAACTTCAGCTTTAATGTCTGATTGGGCAACAAACATGAGGTAAATTCTATATTTAAAAGGTTGTTTCTCCCTCCCTCTGGCAGCTGCAGTACTTTCTAGAAATAGAAAGGATTCCTATCACAAGCCACAGGAACCAGAAGGACTGAGAGGAAATGCTTCCATTTCCTGCTAGCTGTGAGCAGCCTCAGAAGAAGTGGAAGAGATAGCCATGTGGACTAGAAGAAGAGGCCCGAAGGAGAAGACCATCCTGTGGGAGCAGCAAGTACAAAGAGTAGAAAGATTACATTTCCTTTCTGATGTTTTTCAGTTGCTGGATTAACCCTGTCCTGAAGCCCTTCCTCCATGCCTCCGTGCATTCCAGTCACACGAGGCTTTGGGCTCCTCTGTGGACTGAACCAACCACCCTCGAGCCCTCCAAGTGAGACTCTGTGTGTGCTTATTGGTGCACGTTCCTGACTAAAGTGCCTGAGCCCTCAGCTCATTCTGCTAGAATTCCTTCATTGTGCCATTAGTCATGTGATACAAGTCAGCGCTGGAGTGAACTGGGAAGGTGGCAGAATGTGGGAGAAAAGGAACCTGTCGCAGAAATGGGGTCAAAACAGTGCCACATCGGCCTGATAGCAACGCTGTCTCTGTGTGTAACCTTGACTGGCCTGGAACTCCCTGTGCGGCCCACGCAAGGAAAGCAGGGACAGAAGGTGCCTCAAACCCTTGGCACTGCTCCTCCCTCCAACTCCCTGGGTGCTCGATCATAGGGCCTGTACCACCATAACCGGCATAGAGCATTCTCACTCTCTTGGACTGTTCTATATATTTTTAATTTTTACATACGCTTGCATTGCTTTTACTAGGAGGAACAAACCAAACATAGGGATTCCTTTTTTGAAGCCCCTGGCCAAGGGCACAGCTTCAGAGGGCAGTTTAGGTAGGGATAGGACAAGGCAACTCTCAAGTTACATTGTCAGCAGAGCAGAAAGAAGATCTCTGTGGTGCAGGTGGGACCAGAAAACAAACTCCCTTTCAGGCATAGCTTTGTCAAGATTCCAGCCATGAACAGGAATGCTCCAGGGATAAGGAATCATCAATTATGCTTGAATCAAATTGGCGGGGATATTTGCAGCTGAAAAAAAAAAACACAAAACAAAAACAGAAACAATGGAGGAGACCAATGTGAAGACTGTATTAATACTAAAAAAGGAATTAAGGAGTATATTAAATGATACATTTTTAAACAGGAAGTCACTGGGGATGCAGCTCAGTTGCTAGAGTGCCTGCCTAGGATGCATGAAGCTGTGAATTCAACCCCAGCATCACATAAATGGACATGTGCTGCCTACCCATCGCCTCAGCCTTCAGTAGGTAGGGACCTGAGGGTCAACTGAAGGTCATTTTGACTATTACTGAGTTCAGACCAGCCTGAGATATACAGTACCCAGCCTAAATGTAAATGAAGAGGATCTGCTGGGTATGGCCATGCCTTTAATCCCAGCACTAGAGGCTGAGGCAGGCAGGTCTTTGGTCAAGAGTTCAAGGTCAGCCTGGTCTACTGAGTCACTCGTCTCAAGAAAAAAAAAAAAAAAGAACGAAAGAAGGCAAACACAGATTGCATGCCAAAACTCAAAAGGGACTAGAAAAAAACACTTGTGAGTGTAAGGGCTCTTGAATCATGAGTCATCTTTTATTCCTTTTTTAAAAATTTTATTTAATGTTGTTATCATGTCGTTTTTTTACAATAAATAAAAGCTTGAAGATCACTGGGACAATTCACTGAGGTCTCAGGCTTCTCCAGATGGCCTGTTTCTTTTTTGCATGCCAAATGGCTCTCTTCCCACAACCAGGACAGAAGCGGGGCTTCCCCAGAGGCTGGTGCCTTCAAAGCAGTTTTGACTGCTGCTGGTGTGACCATTCTGTGGAAAGGCAGAAGGAACAGGGGACAGGAGGTGCCTCAGCCCAGACTGAGGGCTGTGTGATGTGGGGGTGGAAAGAATTCCCTTATCTTCTGACTCTACCTTACCCATGGTTCGGAGGATAAGTTCTTTTTACTGAAGCAGCCTTTATGATGTGAATTAATCCCCACTGCCACCCCAGCCCCTTCCCAGGGCCCCAACGGTTGGAGTTCTGTGGCAGATAACAAATCCAACTGTCTGCTGCCCTGGGGCACAAAAGAAGTTGGTTCCTTGAGGTTTTTCTAGGAATATTTCCTGTGAGTCAGATAAACAAAGTGAGGGAAAAGAACTTGCAATAAAACACCATGGAAAAGCTGCCCGTGGGCAGAGGGAGGCCCTGATGGAGGAAATGCCCCCACATGGACCTAATCCTCTGCCAAGTCAAACAGGTCTTGAACCCCTCTGTCAGTCCGTCCCTCACCCACATACTTGTAGAGCGCCTGTTATGTGCCGGTCCACAAGTCCTCTCAGAACTTGGTTCAGTCGATCTTCAAGACTCTTGGGATACAGCCTTCTTAGCCCCATGTTTTAGAGGAATCTACGGCAGTGGAAGAAACTGCTGGTGCTTACCTGTTGAAGAAGTAGTAAAGTCAAGATTTGAACTTACATGCTGAGAAGCTGGCTCAATTGGCGAAGTGTGGCCCCGGGAACACGAGGGGCAGAGCAGAGTCAGCAGCGCCCGTGTGAAAAGAAAGCTTGGGATCCCACTGCTGGGGAAGGAGAGACAGGCAGCTTCCTGTGGCTCATTTTTCAGCCAGCTCATCTGTTTGGTGAGTCCCAGTTCACAACGAGAGAATGCAGAAGAAAAAGGAAAGAAAAGAAGAGAAGAGAAGAGAAGAGAAGAGAAGAGAAGAGAAGAGAAGAGAAAAGAAAAGAAAAGAAAAGAAAAGAAAAGAAAAGAAAAGAAAAAAGGTGGTGCACCATGGTGATCCAAGCTTAATCCCTGCACTCAAGCAGAGGCAAACAAGTCTCTGGAATTCAAAGCCTGCCTGGTCTACAGAGCAAGATCCAGAACAGCCAGGGCTGTTAGAGAAACCTTGTTTCAACAAACAAAACAAAACAAAAGACAGTTTCAAGCAAGTGAACAAACAGGCCAGTCACAATGGCACTGAGGTCTGAGGGGGTGGGCTGAGAGCACAGGGACAACTCTTGGGCTGTTAGAGACTAACGTGCCGTCCCAGCGTGACACACTCTGCACACGTTGCCATGAAGAGAAAGATCTTCGCTAGCGCTTGTCCAGTTCAGTCCGATGCCCAGGGAAGAGCCAGCCTCGGACAGAAGACATTGCTAACTTATGTACGTCTGAGGCTTCTCCATTACACACACTCCGTCATCTTTAAGTCTCTTTTGGGTCCCTGCCCCAGGTTACATTTTGAACAATTCATATGGAGACAGAAGACCACTTGGCCGCTTGGGCAGATGGGACATTTACACAGCAGAGATATTGCCAGATTTCTTAAATACACCAATGCTGTTCTTTCTGATGATGCCAGGTCATCCTGCCCACCTGGCAGAATTATGCTTTTCCTGATAAGTACACAAGGGACTTCAGGACTTAATGGCTGCTGTGACCCTTGAGCTGCCTGTTAGAGGCTGGTCAATGCCGTGAACATTTACACCCTAGTGTGGTAAACTTTGCTTGTTGCCAACAGAGCTGGTTAGCATACTACTTATCTTTGGGGTATTTTGGAGGCGGTGCTCCTTTAGCTGGTTTCCACTTTGTATGGTTCACTGTGTCATAAGCGAATCTGTTAACAAATCCTTACAGCATCAGCTCTATGGCTTTTTAGTTTCTTTTACATCAGGACCAGTGAAATTGAAGCTGGTTTTCAAGAACACGATAGGCGTTTTGTCTATTGCTGTATAACAACACATGACCACAAATTGACATCAGAACAACAAAGTCTGGGGCTGTGGAGATGGTCTAGTGGTCTGAGCACTGGCTGCTCTTCTAGAGGACCCATACTCAGTTCTTACAACTTTACGGCTGCTTTACGGAAGCTCTCTTCCGGCCTCTACAGGGACCGCTTATTGTCAGTGCACATATAAACGTAGGCAAACACATTCATACGTGTAAAATAAAAATAAATAAGCGTTAAAATAAAACAACACAAGCTTGCTATCTCAAAGCCTAAGTCTGGCTTTGGTGTAACTGGATTTCCACCCAGGATCTCATATAACAAAAACCAAGGGGGTGGCTAGGGCTTCGGCTCTTAACTTGGGCTCAGTCGTCCAAGTTCACACATTTTGGAGGAATATATTTTATGGCAGTCACAGGATTGAGGTCTCCAAATCTTCCTTCAGACTGGTAAAGATGATGATGCGCAGACACACTATGACAAGTTCAATTACAGAGACCAGCCCCGGTCCCTGATACCTCCTCCAATATCCTTCGGTCGGCTTGGTTAGTTTGTGTTAACCACGGGGATGCTCTTGTTCCCTCAACTGGGATAGTAGATCTTTATGACAGGAGCTCCATGCTTCTTGATCATTCTCCAGGACAGAGACCATTCCTGGCTTTTAATAAATATTGCTGATAGGAGTCAGTTGTCTTCTTCTTTCATACCTGTGCCCAATTCCCAAAGAATCTGATACATTGCTCCTCCCTCCGCCCCCAGAAAAGCTGGGTTTCCCCTAACTGGAGTAGAGTAGGATGGAGCAGTGTTGAAGAGACCGGGTCCCGTGCCTAGTTCCCCTGAGATCTAAACTGGGGCAGTCTATGCACGCTCAGGTACTGAGTACTAAATGCTACAGCTGTACGCATACTAAAGGAGCTGTGGGCAATCTTGTAGAGCTCGTAGCTAACCCAGCCGTGATGAGCACAGCTCCATGACTCCCGGCACAGTAGTCGGCCAGAGCCAGAAGGAAAGGCAAACAGTACCAAGATATCAACTACAATCAAGGAGCGGGGCCCTTGGCCTATTTTCCTGGCACCAGGCAAGAGGTTAGCATGAGTCATGCAGTCAAGTGGCTAGACCCATATTGAGCAAATTGTGTTTAATAATAACTCCACTGATGTCTATCATAGGGACATCTGTGAGACCTATGTGGATGGCAAATTCTCCATCAAGAATGGAGGCTGAGAGGGTGGAGGAAAAAAGTTGGAAATGAAAAACACAACCAAGCCATCCAACATGGAGACATGTGATCTCTGCTGGCTCAGAAGAAAATGTCATCATCCTCCGTGACCACATTACTAGGATAGACAAGGGGAGAAAAACAGCAGTCCCAGAAACACAGGCGGATGACATATCCGCTTGCCTCCCTCACCGATGGGCAGGTCTTCTAGGACATAGTCATTTTCCATCACCCCCAATTCAACGGTGTGTGTGTGCACATGTTAGTATATGGGCAGGTGTACATGGAGAAGCCAGAGATCAACCTCAAATACTGTCCCTCAGCGGCCACTCACTTTGTAGTTTTGTTGAGAATGGCCTTTCGCTGGCCTAAAGCTAGGCAGGTAGGCTAGGCTGGCTCGTCAGGGAGGCCCCAGGGATCTTCTGTCTCTGCCTTGAGTTTCTGGGATTACAAATGTGTGCCACTACCCCTAAATTCTTCACATGGGTTCTGGTGACAAAACCCATATCTTCATGCTTGCTATAGCGAACACTGGCTGAACCATCACTCCAGCACCAATTACTGTTTTTTTTAATTACAGAAAATGATAGGGTAATAATTCAAGTCCCAGTCAGGGTAGGCCTAGGTCTCCCCAGCCTCTCATTCATCTCCAGAGAGGCCGTCATGCAGTCTGACTCTTCCAGCTGAGGTCCTTACATGTGCGGCTTCAGCTCTGTGCCCACCACTGGTGGCACGCAAACTGTTAAGGGGGTGTGCTAGCCTGCCTACAGCATGATCAAAAACAACTTGTGTTCACCCCTCCAGTCACACGAGTGACCAGGCCTCTCCCCTGAGAACCTCCAACTGCCGGGTTCCACCCACAGAACACTCTAACTGCCTTAACTGCTGGACCCTGTCTCCACCCTACAGAGTAAAAAGCCCAGTGTCTGGACGTGAAATCCCACCAATCTCCACCCTGGAAAGCTCCACCCTGAAAAGTTCCACGCCTTTCCCAGAAAACTCTGTGGAAGCCCTGCATCCTGTTCAGTTTGCTGCTGTTTCTCACCCGAGCAGAGAAAGACACCCTTTTGGTTTTTTTTCCCTCCCAATAAATCTCTCTTGTGACATTTGCTATGTGGTATGACTGTGGTATTCCTTGGCTTCCAGCTGCCAGGATACCTTTCGATCCGAGCTGTAATGCTTACAGCTTGGGGTGGGGGAAAAGGCTTGTTCGGCTTACACCAGTCATCACTGAGGGAAGTCAGGCCAGGAACTCAAGCAGGAGCAGAGCAGAAATCATGGGAGGAGGCTACTTCCTGCTCGCTCTCCCAGGTCTCTCCGAGGAACTGTACACTGGGATGAAATTAGTTCCCTTTCACCCAGAGCTGACAGAGTGGCACTGTCTTACAGAACTTTACCTGAGGAGATGTTACACACAACTCACCCCTAAATAAGGAGCTCATGACACACCAAAGCCCAGATCCCACCAAAGTCCAACCTGGTGACCCATGAGTTTTCTGGGGTTCCTTAAAGGAGGATGGCTGAGAGGTTACTTACAGGAGCAGAAGTGACTCAAAGACAGCTGTATCACCAAAGCCCACCGCACTATTGCCCCCGCCACCCCGTGTGTGTGTGTGTGCGTGCGCGCGCGCACGCGCGCGCGCGCATGTGTGTAGGCAAGCACATCACTCACTGTTCCCCCCAGTCCCTGAGCTTGGACTGTCCACATCAGAGAGAAGATTGCTGTGCTAGAACTTGATACTCTATATCACCGATATTATCACCCCCATGGCTAAGGTCCCCAAGGTCCTGAAAAGCTAAGGCTGTTTGGTGCAGGAGCTGGGCACCTTCATGAATTCTTACTTTCTAGGCTCTAGGACAGATGCTCCGAGGGGCTACATCTGCCAGACACCAGGCATGGCATCATTACCACAATAAGTGTCTCCTAGTCACTTCCCAAACCACCCTGGGTATTGAGTCCCTCGGGTATAAGAGGGAGATAATACACCAATGAGACTCATGGGAGAATACCATGAGATCAAAACAATGTGTGCAAGTGTCGTTAATGTACTCCAGTGAGTGGCTCAGATTGATTATTCCTTATCCAAGATCCCCACCGTTCTTCGGGCCCTCCCTGTGAAATGAATAGGTGTTGGTAGCCAACAGTGAGCTTTTGCTTTTTTTCTAGAAAATTGTTTACACTAAAAACCAGACTTGATTCATAGATAAGAATAGAGGACATGGGGAACATGAGTTGGCCCAGCAATTAAGAGCACTTGCTGCTCTTACAAAGGACTTGGGTCCAGTTCCTAGCGCCCACACACGGCAGCTTACCACCTCCCGTAACCTGAGTTCTGAGACATCTGGTATCTTCCTTCTTCTGGCCTCTGTAGGTACCAGCATGTACAAGGTGCACTCACACTCAGACACATATGCAGAAAATAAAAATCAATATTCTTTTAAAAAGATAAGTGGATACACTAGATATGGTGGCCCATGCTTGTAGTCTATAG